CCAAACAGTTGAAACAGTGGACAGTTTTAAATACCTCGGAGTAACATTGGACAACATGCTCACTTTTGATCAGCACATCATGGACTAGGGATCGACCAATATGGTTTTTTCAGAGCCGATGCCGATACCGATTATTATGAAACAGAAATACTGATAGCTGATATTTACAACCCATATATGTCTGCTGTAAAAATCATAGTTGACGCAGAATTAAAAAAATAAACACTGACAAAGCACTACATTCAAATGCAATTAATAAGCATATATTTGTTCTGAGAACTTTTCCAATGAAACAGTACAGGGAGCTGCCAGCAGCACTTTGAGAAAAAACTTTGACAAGTAAAAAAATGAATGGAAAAATATAAAAGTACTCCCTGAGGTTTAAAGTACTGTAATAAGTAAGACACTGAACAGTAAATGAGTACAACAATGAACAGCAGATGAAAAGGAAAAGTGCAGGGAGTTGCCCATGGCATTTTTTAAAAGTTCAAAAAAAAATTTTTTTTTACACACACACACATATATATATATATATATATATATATATATATATATATATATACACACACATTAATAATTAATGTGCCGCCTGTCTTGATCCAGCTCTTAGGTCAAGTTATTGTTTTGTTTTCATGCACTTCCTGTTTTATTTTGATACTCACCTGTTCTGTCTCATTTCAGGACCCTTCACATCCTGTCTTTGTCTTCCTTCCTGCCACTGTGATTACTGGCCCCTCCCCTAACGTGTTGCACCTGTGTCTGATTGGCTCTCCTCCTCCTAGTGTATATAATGCCACATTTGTTTGGCAATCCAGGCCGGTCATTCCTTGTCGGATTTATATGACCATATGACACGTCTGATCTGAAAGCGTTTCATTGCAACAGTCCAGAAAACATGGCGGCGCACCGTAAGTTTGTTTTTGTTTGCATGGTTGCTGAGCAACGGAGACTTTGCTGGTTAAACGACTTTAGGCTACAACGGGCTTGCACAGACTTTTTTTCCAACACAAATCAACAGTGGAAATAGAAATGCCATTGCAAAGTACTTGTATGATTTTTACAACACAAACGCTTAATTAAACAGTATATACGAGGACAAATAACTTTGTTTACCATTCACAATGTGCACAGCCATCTTCGTCGTAACATCAATTCTACTGACTCGGTCTACCTGGACCTTGCCCGAGTTTGATGACGAGACCTCCAGGTAGAACGGGTGTTCTTTTGTACTTTTCCGGACTTGAAACCGTATCAATCCCGGTTCCGGCTACCAATAGAATGCAGCATAAGCTCACCTCCCTCATGTGTCTGTGCCAGTTCGTCTTGTTCCCCAGTGACAGCGTTTCAGCCTTTGATCCCTCGTGTTCTGACTGTTTACCCTTTTGACTTTGCCTTAGCCCTGTGATTTGGATACCTTAGCTCTATCTTCTGACTTTTGCTTGTTTTTTGGACTTTGGAGTTTGCCTTACGTTTTGGACACCTCTGCCTGCTAGTTATTGAAATAAACCTTCTTTGGCTGAACTCTTCCATGCTACTGAGTCTGCTTTTGGGTTCTCACTCAGTTCAGGTCTTGACAAATAGAGCACAGGAAACATATGTCTGTAAGTACAAATGTATTGCTCTGAGTTTATTTGCTTATGTTATGTAGAGATGCTCACTTGCACTTTATTGTTTGTCATTGTAATGCCGTTGCGGTGCCATTGCTAATTTCTGTTAGCGCGTCTATGAAGATTTCCATTATATGTTAGCATTATGCTAGTGGACCATGCGCTAATTATTTTTCCACATTTGTGGCACTAATGCCAGCTATATTTTGAGTTAACTTCTGTCTTCTTTTTATTAAGTAAAGGAACTCCAGGTCATGTTCACTTGATGACATTTAGCCACTGAATTCAAGACAAGGGAACCGGAGGTGGTAAAATGCGACATTATCCCAGCACCACTTTATAGAAGACGCTCAAATTTACATCTTACAGAGAAGCTTGAACTTTCAGTCTCAGCTGTTGAAGCCAACATGGACAAGAAGTCCATAAAGTGCTCATAGTATGGGAAAATTCATGACAGATGGCCAATCCTTTGTTTTGTATTATCTAAAAACAGACACACAGCACTGTTGTGTTTTCAGGTTTATACCTTTTAAAGGGATAGTGCACCCAAAAATGAAAATTCAGCCATTATCTACTCACCCATATGCCGATGGAGGCCCTGGTGAAGTTTTAGAATCCTCACATCCCTTGCGGAGATCGGCAGGGGGAGCGGCTAGTACACCTAATAGCTGACGGCGCCCCAGACTAATGTCCAAAAACACAAAATTGAAACCACAGAATATCTCCAACATGCTCATCCGTAGTGATCCAAGTGTCCTGAAGCCCCGACATATAAAGTTGTTTCGAAAAATGTCATTTCAGCTCTGTTTTTAGCCTCATTGTAGCCTGTAGCTTGGACTGCTTCTCTGTGCTCCGCGCTCATGTGTGCGCGCTCAGGGTGATCGGTGATGCACGGTCTCTGAAGAGCAGCAGTCTCGTCAGTACTGATGTCCAGATTCTCAAGTGCAGGCATCGCCAATTCCCCGTCTGAGCAGCAAAGACTTTCCTCATCCATTGGCATTGCTTTGCATTTGAAACAACTACACCACCAGGTTTCCAGTGCTCGATTCTGCGGCAGATTAATCGTAATATGCATATGCAATCTAATTTTTCAATGACGGCGATTCTGCTGGCCCCACCCGTGCCGGGAGTCGGGACATCATCTGCATGAAAACAAGCGCTCCCAACGACGCAGCGTTATACCACGTGATGCAGAGCAACAGCCAGCCAGCAGTTTGGAAAGGAGCGAGACAAGGGGGAAACACACTGCTATCTGTAGCCTCAGTTTATGCCTCATACAGATCTGCTGGTAAAGTTAACTTAGCGTTAGCAAGCGTGATAAAAGACGGCAGAGAGGCGACGTTGTGCAAATAAACCAAAGATTTATTAATTTTCTGTAGCAGTAAACACATGGGCTGATAACAAATGTGTTAACTAACTATGCTAAAGCTTTACAAGCTATTCAGGGCTGCCGACGATAACATTAATATGACAAACAGCAAGGCTACGGCAAGTTAACGTACTGACCCTCCTCAGACAGACAGACAGACAGACACACACACACACACACACACACACACACACACACACACACACACACACACACACACCGGACAGCCTCTCAGTCCTTAGCCGCTAAAGTTAGCTCATGTACAACACAGGTACCACACAGAAACTTTTACAGAGGGTCATAATGTGCTTCTAGTGACTGTCAAATTGCCAGCGAAAGTTGTTTATACTGTGGACACGGAGAGTAGCTGCCTGCTCTCATGGGACAAAGATCCTCTGAGAAGAAAGACGGTTCACTCTGCTCTGCCGCCAGGAACAAACTGGGAGGCAAAGATCCTCTCTGAGAAAGAGGGTTCACTTTGCTGCAGGGTTCACCAAAACGTTTTTTTTGTTGTTGTTTTTTTTGTTTTAATAAATTGAACACACATTAAAGAACATACAAGATCCTGTAGAGAATTAATACATATAATACAATACAATAAACACTGTCAAATTAAATGAAGGAAGAGGATTTATTTTAAAGGTAAATAAAATATTGGGAATTTATGTAAAAATATACATAGAGACATATAAATAATTATATAATTAAAGATATGTAGGCTATGTTAGGTGAATACTCCTGTCAAATGCATGGTGTTGAAACGTTTAATTTTGATCTTCCTTAGTCCATTTAGACTTTATTTTATCATAAGAATAACAATGAATATTATGAATTGTTCACGTTTTAATCTAATTTTAATAACATTTATCACACAGCATTTTGTGGAATGTGGAAAAGTCAAATGTTCAGTTTACAGTTTTAATAAACTCAGAACTATTTTTCAACACATATATTGTTTTGTCTTCATTCAATGTAATTAGCACATATTGTTACTGCGCCATTGGTTTTGGCCTTTGGTGCCCCACATTTTGGCCGTGATGCCCCAATAAATTTGTATTTATCAAAGGCCAAAGTGGCCTTGCCCTAAAATGACTTAATTCCAGGCCTGGAATACCTACCTCAGAAAAATGTTGTTCAACATTGATATTATTGTTAAAATAAGAGACTAAAGTTTATTGTTTTTACGGTCAGTGTCAGGCTGTCAGCTGCTGCATTTAAGCTAAAAACAGGAGTGTTCCCTCTCTGCTGACCAGAGTTTATGTGCCTTGTGTCTCTTGTATCAAGCACAATCATAGGTTTTGTTATTTAATGATATTTTTTTATTATTTATTTATAATTTTTGTTACTTTTCCTTTTGCATCAGGAAATAAGCACAATAAATCTTTATGTTGACAAAAATCGTGAGAGAATCGTGATCTCAATTATGAGCCAAAAAATTGTGATTCTCATTTTTTTCCAGAATCGTGCAGCCCTAGTAGATAATGGCTGAATTTTCATTTCTCGGTGCACTATCCCTTTAATGTTTATCCTGATTAAACAGCTGACATTTTCTGCAAAGTTAGACTGATTCTTTCCTGCTTCTTGTGAATGCTAGTCACAATTGACCCTTCCATGTTCGTTAAAAGTTTGAAATTAAAACTTGAAGTTATTTTACTGTTAAATAAAACTAGAGTTAGGGTGATTTGAATGAGGGCAGAGTTAATACCCACGTCTCTCTCATTACCACTTTTATATAGAGGCTTAAAGGCCTGCAGATCATCTCCGCCCACACACTATACTTCATAACCTCTCGAGTGATGAGCCAAGCAAAATGCCAAAACATGACACTGTGTGTGTGTGTGTGTGTGTGTGTGTGTGTGTGTGTGTGTGTGTGTGTGTGTGTGTGGGAGGACACACCGCAGGGAAATATGAAGCTCCATAAACCAAGAAAACACACATGCACATTGTGACTAATTTAATAAATGCTAATTACACTGCTAAGGAACAGCAGCAGTGTGTGTGTTTGTGTGTGTGTGTGTGTGTACCTCCTGTGCAGTAGGATGCGGGGTGGCAACCAGTTGTGGTTCCGGTGCTCTCTTCACCACATCAAAGAAGGAAACTCCAGATTCTGCAACAAGGCCTGAAAACACAAGACCAATGAGAGAATTTGGTTTCTGCATTCTTAACCAATCAGATGGCAAAGCGTCAATAAGCAATCAGAGGTTTTAGATTTTTTAGATTTTCTAAAATAAATAAAACACATTGATTCAAAAGATTTTTGAATAATGATACATAAACAAAATCTATCTTAACACTCCATAAGTTATTGAAACTATTCATGTTATTTCCTTTTTAAGAAATGCCCGTTTTTGTGAGCAGAGTGCAAAGGCACAGTAATGGATTTATAATTTATTCCTCTGGTGCCACCGCATGTTTTTGTATGGTTTTGCACCACACATAATATAACATGATGACGTCAATGCAAGGGTACAACGTGATGACACGGAAGATAGTAGCCTCAGCGTTCTGCTACAAAGATTGATATATTGATATTAGATGATATATCCAGGATTATGCAAACAATGGTCTCCCACAGCCATTACAGGGAAATTCCAGCATAATTACTGCAAAATGCTACTTTTACACCACACCTAAGGTAAGGTAAGGTAAGGTAAGATTAGGTAACAATGTAATGACAGGGAAGACAGAAGCCTTAGCTTTCTGCTGCAAAAAAATGAATGCTCTAGGTTTATTAAAGCAGGATCAAGCAAAACAACAAACTCCTGTGGCTGTCCATGGAACGTCTGTTTTTAAAGAATTAAACTACTGGTTCTGTCTCCACCATTAAACAAGAAGTGCAGCTGTGTTGTTACCAGTGAGGTGAGAGTGTCATTAACCAATCAGAGGTTTAGGTTTAGTTATTGCAACACTAACCAGTCACCACCAGTGGGGTTGGTAGCAGGGTCATTAACTAATCAGAGGTCTACTTTTTGCATTGTTAACCAATCAGTGGTTGGTAACTGGGTCATTAACCAATCAGAGGCTTACTTTTTACATTACATCAATCAGTACATTCCTTCTCCATTATCAATCAGTTGGTTAGTTCCTGCATAGTTAATCAATTAGCAGGTAAGTTCCACTGCCATTAACATGTCAGCAGGTGAGTTACAAGATAAATGTTATTGATTATCAGTAACTAAAATGTTTCTAGGTTGTAATTAGTCAGTCAGTGTCATTATCCAATCAGAGGATTATTTTCTGCATTGTTAACCAGTCAGTTCTGAGTTTTTAGCTCATAAGCTAATCAGAGGATTAGTCAAGATATTTCGGCATCACAGTATGAAAAGCAAAGGTGTAAATGATAAAATAGCAGATGGCTGAATTCCATTTAGTTGCTTTAGATTTAGTGTCCTTGTATTGTGCATGTTGGCACATGAAATATTGAAATATTATATATTTAATTACATATTTGATAAATGTTTTCCACTTGTTCAAATAAAAGGGAACTGCAAGCCTAAAATACCCTGGATCATGCCAGGTCTATAATGATCTTCAATTAAAGAGAATAAATTATATACAAAAAATGTGTTGTTAGCCCCATCCCATTTAATAGTGATGTTTATAAAAAATCTAAGAATGATTTCACAAAATTACTGCAAAAAAAAAAAAAAAAAATTACTATTAAGAAGAAAATTGTACAATCCCGTAATTATATAAAAAACACATGCAACCTCATTAATGAATTACTGTATAAGAAAAAAGCCTCCACTACTATCCCATGTCAATTATCTGATGGGGTGAGAAATTTCACTAATATTTTTGACATAACAAATGGTTTCAATGATTTCTTTGTAAATATCGGTCCTTCCTTAGCTAAAAATATAGAGAGTAGAAATGAATCCCTCTTGATGAATATCAGTGAGCAGTATCCCCCCACCTCTAAAAAGGTACATGACATTATATTGGATATGAAAAATTCTGCTGCAGGACATGATGAAATAAAATCTAGTCTTGTAAAGAAGGTACTTTTGTCTGTTGTGTAGCCCCTCACCCATGTTTTAAGTCTCTTGGACAAATCCAAGCGCTCCTCCGCACCAGGCAGGCACCACTCTGCTTCTCCTCTGAATTCTCTCCCATTGCTGGAGAAGTTAAGAACATTGGGCCTCATTCACCAAAATCTTCTTAAGAATCTTCTTAGATTCTTTCTTAAGCTTTTCTTAAGAAGCGCCAACGCCAGATGAGGGGGGGACTCTGTCTCTACTGCGGTGAAAGTAAGGAAAATGCTCAACTTCAGCAAATACTGAAATGAAGAGACTTGGAGAACCACGGAGAAAAGTTACAGCCAGCGGGGTTACTTTAATCGCAGAACTTTAGCATACAACAGTATACTAGTCTACACAGCAAAACAGATGGAAACAGCGAAACAGCCCTGAACAATCACCCTTCAAATGCTTTTATAATGGGCGTCTTCTCATTCATGTGCATGTGTGTGTATGTGTGTGTGAACACGCTTGGGTCGTATTTCCTGTAAATCTAAAGTTCTCCTGATTTCCTACTTATTCCTAGAGCTGGACTTCGTGCGTCAATATTTCCTGTCTCCTTTGTCTCTCTGGCATAAACAACCGTTCCTATTGCGAAACTTGGCACATCTGTTCCAACAGTCAGGTCACCCTAATCCAGAATGTTCTACTTCATTTGACCTCCCAAGGCTTGACGTACGCACAAATACTCATATTATCAAAACACCTCTTATGGGTCCTTTTTACTGCCAAATCTGATATTTGACCAGCTGCTTCCTAAACCTAGTGTAACTGGCCTTATTTTTCACCTTTGGTATAAAATGATACATTATCTGCCTCTACATGAACAGGGTCACCGAATTGCTTCGTGTCCATTAAAAGCTCAGGCTCACCAGTGAGAGAGAGGGTACTGGTGAGCCGCATTGTTACTGTTTCTAATCCTTCTAGTTACCTTGTCCTCCCCCTCTGTTTCTCTCCAGCAACCCATGTTTGTCGACTCAGGGTCTGACGCTAACCTTATTGACTCCTCCCTAGCCAAGAGATTGGGTCTCCACCTGCCTGCGCTCTCGATGGAAGGGTCATCTGCCGAGTTACCCACCGGACTCAATCATTCACTCTCAGGTTCCCTGATCAGCATACAGAACTTTTAACCTTTTATGTGTATCACTCCCCTATGCATCCGCTCATCCTGGGCCACCCGTGGCTCATTCTGCACAACGCTCATATGGACTGGGAAACAGGACGGATCCTAGCCTGGGGTCCTCGTTGCTCCGGGGCCTGTGGGGTGGTTTCCCTGCTTCAGTCATCGCTGCCCGAAGTCTCCTCGCTGGTGCCTCCTGGTGAACCTGTGGACCTGGAAAAGGATTTCCCTGCGCTCCATAAGGTACCCTCTAGTTATCATGACCTGTAACATGTTTTCAATAAGTCTCGGGCTACTGCTCTCCCCCCTCATAGACCCTATGACTGCACCATCGACCTTCACCCCGGGACTTCCCCTCCCAAGGGGAGGCTATACTCTCTCTCAGGACCCGAAACCACCGCCATGTCCAAGTACATCGAGGAGTCCCTGGCTGCTGGTCTCATTCGCCCCTCTTCTTCACCTGCTGGCGCCGGTTTCTTTTTTGTGGACAAGAAGGACAAGTCTCTACGTCCCTGTATTGATTACCGAGGTCTCAATGACACCACCATCCGCAGACCAATGGCCAGACGGAGAGGTTAAACCAAGAGTTGGAAACCAGTCTCCGATGTTTGGCTACCCAGAACCCGTCCTCGTGGTGCCGCCAGCTCATCTGGGTAGAATACGCCCACAACTCCCTGCCATGTTCCTCCATGGGTCTATCTCCCTTTCATGTTGTCTACGGGTACCAACCACCTGCCTTTCCTGCGTGGAGCGTGAGGTCAGTGGCCTCTTGGCGACGGCCTTGATCTGGCGGTGCCAGCGGACCTGGAACCGTGCTCGTCGTACCCTGATGCATAACTCGGAACGCTACAAGAAGGCGGCTGACCGTTGCTGTGCCCCTGCGCCGGCCTACCAGAGTGGACAACGTGTCTGGCTCTCCACCAAGAACCTCCCCCTGTGAGTGGAGAATAGGAAACTGGCTCCCAGGTTTGTTGGACCTTTTCCCATATCCAAAGTGATTAATCCAGTGACTGTTCATTTGAAGCTCCCCAGTGCCATGAGAGTGCATCCTGCGTTCCATGTCGGCCAGGTCAAGCTTGCCAGGGACAGTGCCCTGGTTCCCGCTTCCCGACCCTCACCTCCCCCCCAGCTCATTGAGGGGGGCCCTGTCTACACGGTCCGGCGGCTCCTGGCATCTCGTCGCCGCGGCCGTGGGTTCCATTACCTCGTGGACTGGGAGGGTTACAGTCCCGAGGAGCGTTCTTGGGTCCCCTCCTCCCACATCCTGGACCCTGACCTCATTGCTGAGTTCCACCGGCTCCACCCTGAGGCTCCTTTTGGTATTATCCCTCCTGTGTCATGTCTGGTGTCTTTACTTCCTCCTGTGTGATTGCCTCCCTCCTCCCTAATGTGTTTCACCTGTGTCTCGTTAACCTGCCTCCCTGCAGTATATATGCCCTGCTGCTGTTCCCCTGTCTCCGTTGCCAGTTTGTTATCGATTCCAGAGAGAGATACTTACCAGCATTTTCTGCCTGCCTTCCTGTGAGAGATCTGTTTGTGACCCGTTTCCTGAGACCTGCCTGTTCCCTGTCAGTACAGTTGCCAGTTCCCTGTTCATCCTGTGTATGATCCTGCCTGCTCTCACGGTAACCCTGTTTCATCTGCTCCTCATCTGTACCTCTGCCAAAATTCCTGCCCAACCTGTGTTCTGACCCTGCCGTCCTCTGCCTGTCTCTAGTCTGTACCTCTGCATTACTCTCTGGATTCCTGGTTCTGACTCTGCCTGCCTGACCAACAGGTCTCGTCTGACCCCTCCTGCTGGATCCCCAGCCTGTTTCCTTTGGGCCTGCCAGCTCCCCAGGAACCCCTATTCAGTATTTTTGAAGTGTTAAATAAACTGTCTGTGTTAACTTTGAACGTGTCTATCTGGTCGTGCCTTTGGGTCCAGCCTCCTGTGCTCAATTCTGACAGCAACAACAAAATGCCCAAAGCAAAAAGTAA